TTCAACAGGAGAAGTATTGTGAGGAGAGACGCACCACCCCAGATGGTCGAGAGCCGGTCCCGGGAGACACTTGTATATTGCTGAAATGATTCCTCAAGCCGCAACACCTCTCGGAACAGGTAGTCCTGACGCTGAAGCCAATTAATAAATGCCATTATAAGGACAAAGAAATGCATTTACATGAACAACTGAAACTTGTAGCTGAGAATTTAAGTGATAATCAGTATTACAGGTACGTCTTGTTACTTCTACTTACACTTAGGTCACTCTAAACATACATGTACACGTTTATTTATACACACTCATTTGAGTTTTTTTTATTTTATCTTAGTTCTTGTTCTTATTAACTTTTCCTTTTATATCCATGGGAAGTGGAATCAGAATCTTTCCTCCAATAAGTCATGCATGTTGTAAAAGTCAACTAAAATGCTAGGAACAATGGGCTAGTAACCCCATTTCCTGTAATAATTACTAAAAAGAATAAGAAGAAAAACATGTCAAAGTGGGAAGTCCGAATGTGTGTGGATTTGTGTGAATAAGAAAGAGATGACTGTGGAATGTTTGAATGAGAAGAAGCTGGATGTCCTGGCTTTTTAAGTGAAACAAAGCTGAAAGGGGTGGGTGAGTTTCAGTGGAGAGGAATAAATGGGGTCAGGTCAGAGGTTTCAAATAAAGTTAGAGCTAAAGGAGTAGCAATAATGTTGAAGGATAAGATATGGCAGGAAAAGAGGGGTTATAAATGTATTAATTCAAGGATTATGTGGAGTAAAATAAAGTTTGGATGTGAGAAGTGGGTTATAGTAAGGGTATATGCACCTGGGAAGACAGAAGTATAGAGGAGAGAGAGAGAGATTTTGGGAAATGTTGAGTGAATGCGTGGGAGTTTTGAACCAAGTGTGAGAGTACTTGTCGTTGGGGATTTTAATGCTAAAGTGAGTAAAATGTTTTGGAGGGAGTAGTAGGTAAATTTGGGGTGCCAGGGGTAAATGAAAATGGGGAGCCTTTAATTGAGCTATGTGTAGAAAGAGGTTTGGTAATAAGTAATACATACTTTATGAAGAAGAGGACAAATAAATATACAAGATATGATATAGCACATAATGAAAGTAGTTTGTTAGATTATGTACTGGTGGATAAAAGGTTGATGGGTAGGCTCCAGGATGTACATGTTTATAGAGGGGCAACTGATATATCAGATCATTATCTAGTTGTAGCTACAGTTAGAGTAAGAGGTAGATGGGACAAGAGGAAAATGACAACAACAAGTAAGAGGGAGGTGAAAGTGTATAAACTAAGGGAGAAGGAAGTTCGGGTGAGATATAAGCAACTATTGACAGAAAGGTGGGCTGGTGCAAGTATGAGTAGTGAGGGGGGTTGAAGAGGGTTGGAATAGTTTTAAAAATGCAGTATTAGAATGTGGGGCAGAAGTTTGTGGTTATAGGATGGTGGGTGCAAGAGGAAAGAGGAGTGATTGGTGGAATGATGAAGTAAAGGGTGTGATAAAAGAGAAAAAGGTAGCTTATGAGAGGTTTTTACAAAGCAGAAGTGTTATAAGAAGAGTAGAGTATATGGAGAGTAAAAGAAAGGTGAAGAGAGTGGTGAGAGAGTGCAAAAGGAGAGCAGATGATAGAGGGGAGAGGCACTGTCAAGAAATTTTAAAGAAAATAAGAAAAAATTTTGGGGTTAAACAAGTTAAGAAAGCCTAGGGAATGAATGGATTTGTCAGTTAAAAACAGAGTAGGGGAGTTAGTAGATGGGGAGATGGAGGTATTGGGTAGATGGCGAGAATATTTTGAGGAACTTTTAAATGTCGACGAAGAAAGGGGGGGCGGTAATTTCATGCACTGGCCAGGGAGGTATACCATCTTTTAGGAGTGAAGAAGAGCAGGACGTGAGCGTGGAGGAGATGTGTGAGGCATTACGTAGAATGAAAGGGGTAAAGCAGCTGGAACTGATGGGATCATGACAGAAATGTTAAAAGCAGGGGATGGGGGGATATAGTGTTGGAGTGGTTGGTATTTTTGTTTAATAAATGTATGAAAGAAGGGAAGGTACCAAAGGGATTGGCGGAGAGTGTGTATAGTCCTTTTATATAAAGGAAAGGGGGACAAAAGAGATTGTAAAAATTATAGAGGAATAAGTTTACTGAGCATACAGGAAAAGTGTACAGTAGGGTTATAATTGAAAGAATTAGAGGTAAGACAGAATGTAGAATTGCGGATGAGCAACGAGGTTTTTAGAGTGGGTAGGGGATGTGTGGATCAGTGTTACATTGAAGCATATATAGTGGAACAGTATTTAGATAAAGATAGGGAAGTTTTTATTGCATTCATGGATTTAGAAAAAGCATATGATAGAGTGGATAGGGGAGTAATGAAGCAGATGTTGCAAGTAAATGGAATAGGTGGTAAGTTGCTAAATGCTTTAAAGAGTTTTGATGAAGATAGTGAGGCTCAGATTAGGGTGTGTAGAAGAGAGGAAGACTACTTCCCGGTAAAAGTAGGTCTTAGACAGGGATGTGAAATGTCACCAAGGTTGTTTAATATATTTATAGGTGGGGTTGTAAAAAAAGTAAATGCTTGGGTGTTCGGGAGAGGCGTGGGATTAAATTATGGGGAATCAAATACAAAATGGGAAGTGACACAGTTACTTTTTGGTGATGATACTGTGCTTATGGGAGATTCTAAAGAAAAATTGCAAAGGTTAGTGGATGAATCTGGGAGTGTATGTAAAGGTAGAAAATTGAAAGTGAACATAGAAAAAGATAAGGTGATGAGGGTATCAAATGATTTAGATAAAGAAAAATTGGATATCGAATTGGGAAGGAGAGATATGGAATAAGTGAAGATTTCAGATATTTGGGAGTTGACATGTCAGTGGATAGATTTATGAAGGATGAGGTTAATCATAGAACTAATGAAGAAAAAAGAGTGAGTGGTGCATTGAGGTATATGTGGAGACAAAAAATGTTATCTATGGACGCAAAGAAGGAATGATTGAAAGTATAGTAGTACCAACACTCTTATATGGGTGTGAAGCTTGGGTTGTAAATGCTGGAGCAAGGAGGCGGTTGGAGGCAGTGGAGATGTCCTGTCAAAGGGCAATGTGTGGTGTAAAATATTATGCAGAAAATTCAGAGTGTGGAAATTAGGAGAAGGTGTGGAGTTAATAAAAGTATTAGTCAGAGGGCTGAAGAGGGGTTGTTGTGGTGGTTTCGTCATTTACAGAGAATGGATCAAAGTAGAATGACATGGAGAGTGTATAAATATGTAGGGGAAGGAAGGCGGGGTAGGGGTCATCCTCGAAAAGGTTGGAGGGAGGGAGTAAAGGAGGTTTTATGGGCGAGGGGCTTGGACTTCCAGCGTGCGTGAGCGTGTTAGATAGGAGTGAATGGAGACGAATGGTATTTGGGACCTGACGAGCTGTTGGAGTGTGAGCAGGGTAATATTTATTGAAGGGATTCAGGGAAACCGGTTTTTTTATATAGCCGGACTTGAGTCCTGGAAATGGGAAGTGCAATGCCTGCACTTTAATGGAGGGATTTGGGATATTGGCAGTTTGGAGGGATAGGTTGTGTATCTTTATACGTATATGCTTCTAAACTGTTGTATTCTGAGTACCTCTGCAAAAACAGTGATTATGTGTGAGTGAGGTGAAAGTGTTGAATGATGATGAAAGTATTTTCTTTTTGGGGATTTTCTTTCTTTTTGGGTCATCCTGCCTCGGTGGGAGATGGTCGACTTGTTAAAAAAAAAAAAAAAAAAAAAAAAATAATAATATAATAATAATAATAATAATAATATAAGTTTTGAATTTCAAATTAATAATTAGATTACTCACAGAATCCACATGGATGAAGAAGAAGTGGTCCTTGTGATACAGAGCTTTAACTAAACGCTTGAGCTGTCTTATGGCTCTGCCGTTGACTGTCAAGATAAATGCTATTCTCACGGGGGCGTTGTTGCCTGCTGATGAATGTCCCTTAAGTGCAGAAGGGACATACTCTGTAATGAATCATAAACAATGTACCCCACTCCAAACTAAAGCACTGAACAGTACAAAAAGATACTAAAAAATGTGTACAAAGGCACTAAAAGTCAACTTACACAAAAGTAAACAAGCTGAAATACTTAAGGTTAAGAATATACTAGTGCTACATGTTTAAAATTTGGATATGTTATATATCTATATATGCTTCTAAACTGCTGTATCTGGGCACGTCTGCAAAGACAGTGATTATGTATGAGTGAGGTGAAAGTGCTGAATGATGATGAAAGTATTTTCTCTTTGGGAATTTTCTTTACTTTTTGGGTCACACTGCCTCGGTGAGAGATGGCCGACTTGTTGAGAAAAAAAAAGAAGAAGAATGTGAAAAGAAAGGATATAAGAACAAAACACTAAAGAGAAGGATGTGTGCATATAAGTGCACTAAGATAAAATGTTACTAGCTAACCAAAAATTCTAGTGTGAAAAGATTTATTTTTATTTTTGTTTTAAGGGGCCCTGAAGGTTTTCGGTGCACGGAGTAAAAAAAATATTGAAAAAATACAAAAACTGAGTCATTCTCACCAAAAAAAAAAAAAAAAATAGCTGAACTTTCTGGCAACACTCTGGTATAATTATCATCATTACATGATGCTTCTACAAGGAATTATAGTCATTTATAACATGGATGGTGACAGCGCCTTGAGTAGCAGGCGAGTTGACACAGCATTTTTTTCCTTCAGTAGCATGCGAGTTGACACAGCATTTTTTTTTCCTTCAGTAGCATGCGAGTGACACAGCATTTTTTTTTCCTTGAGTAGCATGCGAGTTGACACAGCATTTTTTTTTCCGTGTTGTTTTATCATTTTCTTGTATCTTTATGTTTAATAAAAAAACAAATTCACCATTGAGAGCAAAGCAGAGTAGGTGCGGCTATATGGTCTAGGAACCAATCAGGGCATCCCTGGGAATAGTGCTGACATGGCGGACACACACCAGCCAACAAAATATTCTATACTCACGCTAATATCAATTATAAGGCTTATTTACCTATCACAATTGATCTAATGTGACATAAGGCGATATAATAATAGCATAGAAACATAAAAAGTACGCTAGAACAAAATAATATTGTTTTATTTTTTTATTAATCACACTGGCGATTCCCACCAAGGCAGGGTGGCCCGAAAAAGAAAAACTTTCCACCATATTCACTGGCATCACTGTCAGCCCAGAGGGTGCTGTTACACTACAGTTTTAAACTGCAAATTAACACCCCTCCTTCAGAGGTGCAGGCACTGTACTTCCCATCTCCTGGAATCATGTCTGGCTGCCGGTTTTCTGAACCCTTCATAAATGTTACTTGCTCCACACTCAAACAGCCGTCAAAGTATTAAAACCATTTGTCTCCATTCACGCCTATCTAACCCGCTCACGCATGCCTGCTGGAAGTCCAAAGCCCCTCGCACACAAACCTCCGTTACCCCTACCTCCAACCTTTCCTAGGCCGACCCTACCCGCCTCCTTCCACTACAGACTGTCCACACTCTTGAAGTCATCTGTTTCGCTCCACATTCTCTCTTTTTTTTTTGTTTTTACACTTTTTTGTCCGAACTCCTCAACAACCGTCCTCAGCCTCTGGACAACAGTTTTGGTAATCCCGCCTACCTCCTCCTAACTTCAAACACGAATTCTCTGCTTATATTCAACACCACACATTGCCTCATACATGAACAATCTCCACTGCCTCCAGCCTTCTCTCGCTGCACCATTCATCCCCCATGCTTCACACCTATAGTGCGTGGGTTAAAACTATACTCCATACATTCCCTCTTTGCCTCCAAGGGAACAAAGTTCTTTGTCTACACAGACTCCTAAGTGCACACTCATCTTTTTCCCTCATCAATTCTTTGATTCGCCCTCAGCTCTTCATAGACCATTTGCTGACACGTCCACTCCCAATATCTGAATACGTGCTCCTCCTCCTACTCTCTCCTCAATCTGAAGTCAATCTTTCATCACCTTAATCTTTTTGTTATCCTCATAACCTTACTCTTTCCTGTATTCACCTTTAATTGTCTTCTTTTGCACACCCTACCAAATCATCATAATCTCTGCAACTTTCTCTTCAGGAATCTCCCATGTAGCACAGTGTCATCAGCAAGAGCAGCTGTGGAAAACTCCCATTTGTGTGTGCTTTCTTTATCTTTTAACTCCTCGCCTCTTGCCAAGACCCTCGCATTACTTCTCTTACAACCCCTTCTATTAAATATATTTAACATACCACGTGACATCACACATCCTTGTCTAAGGCCTACTTTTACTGGGAAAAAATTTCCTCTTTCCTACATACTCTAACTTGAGCTCACCTATCCGTAAATACTCTTACTGCTTTCAGTAACTACCTCCTTACACCTATTTTCACTTGCACCATCTGCCACAATGCCCCCCTATTCCACTGTCATAGCCTTTTCCAAATCCATAAATGCCACCAAGGCCTCTTTAGCCTTAGCTAAATACTGTTCACTTATATGTTTCACTGTGAATCACTGGTCCACACACCCCCTACCTTTCCTAAAGCCTCCTTGTTCATCTGTATCCTATTTTCCGATCTTACTCTTAATGCTTCAATTATAACTCTACCATAACTGTACCAGGTATTCTCATCTGATTATTCCCCTATAATTTTTGCACTTCTTTTATCCCCCTTTGCCTGTATTCAAAAGGATACGCAAGCTTCTCTGCCAATCCTAGGTCCTTACCCTCTTCCATCATTTATTAAATAATTGCACCAACCACTCCAAAACTATGTCCCCACCGCTTTTTAACTTTCTATCTTTTTCCCATCTATCCTGGCTGCCTTACCCCCTTTCATTTTCCTACTGCTACGTCACACTTCGTGTGAGACGACCCAACACTCACTCATCTCTATACTGGCTCTTCCTCACTCCTACAGATGTTATTCATCCTTGCCTATACACGAATCACAGCTTCCCTATTCTTCATCAACAGTTAACAATTCCTTCAAATCATTCCCTCCAATTTCCCAAGACCTCCTAAAACTCTCCATTTAATAATCTCCTCTCCTATTTTTAAACTGAAAATCCATTTGTTCTCTAGGCTTTCTTAATTGTTAAACTCACTCAAATTTTTCTTATTTTCAGCAAAATTTGTTGATAACATCTCACCACTCTTCATGTGCCTCTCTTTTTACATTGTTTCTTCACCACTCTTTTACTCTCTCTTTTTCTCCATTTATACTCTTCCCTCCTTGCTTCACTTCTACTTGTTTAAAAATTCTCTATATACTCTCTTTATACTACATCATTCCACCAATCGCTCCTCTTCCCTCCCGCACCCACTTTCCTGTAACACAAACTTCTGCTGACACACTTAACACTACATTTTTAAACCTACCCCCATACCTCTTCGACCCCATTGCCTATGTCTAATTAGCCCAATCTCATCCTCCAATTGCTGTTTAGATCTTACCTAACTGCTCCTCTTTTAGTTTATAAACCTTCACCTCTTCTTCCTGATGCTTCTATTCTCCTTGTATCCCATCTACCTTTACTCTCAGTGTAGAGCTACAAGCTAGGAAAAGTGTTATCTGATTTATCTGTGGCCCCTCTATAAACATGTATACATCCTGAAGTCTACTCAAACAGTCTTTTATCTACCAATACATCATCCAACAAAACTACTGTCATTTCGCCCTACATATATCTTGTACTTATTTTATCCTTCTTTTGCTGTTAAAATATGTATTACCTATATACTCCTAAAACCCCTTTCTGTATTATACAAAGTTCAATCAAAGGGGCTCCATTATCATTTACAACTTGGCACCCCAAACTTACCTACCACACCCTCTCTAAAAGTTTCTCCTACTATAGCCTTTCAGGTCCCCTACCACAATTACTCTCTCACTTGGTTCAAAGGCTCCTATACAATCACTAACATATCTCCCAAAATCTCTCTTCTCCTCTGCATTTCCTCTCTTCTCCAGGTGCTACACGCTTATTATGACCCACTTCTCGAATCCAACCTTTTCTTTAATCCCACATTAATCTTGAATTTACCACATTCATTTTCACTTTTCTCCTTCCATAACTGATAATTTTACATTACTGATACCCTTTCTTTGCTCTAACTCTCTCAGTACTCCAGAATTAATCCATTTATTTCCCCCCACTGCAACTCTCCTACCCCCTTCAGCTTTGTTTCGCTTAGGGCCAGGACATCCAACTTTTTTTCATTCAGACATCCAGCAATCTTCTGTTTCTTGTCATCCGCACTACATCCAGCACATTTAAGGCATCCAGTTTATAAAGTTTTTCGTTTTTCTCTTATTAGTAAAGGTCTCAGGTGGCAAGGGGTTAACTAGCCCATTGCTCCCGGCATTTAGTCGACTCATACGACACGCTTGGTACGGGGAGCAGATTCTTTTCCACTTCCCCATGGACAATAGGAGAAATAAAGAGAACAAGAGCTATTTAGAAAAAGGAGGAAAAACTAGATGTATGTATATATAAATGCATGTGCGTGTCTGTGAAGTGTGACAAAGTGTAAGTAGGAGTAGCAAGATATCCCTGTTAGTCTAAGCGTGTTATGAGACAGAAAAATTATATGATGCTGGAGGAAAGACTTAGGTACCCATCCCATCTCAAGGCCATATACCCATTTATCTTAGTCACTATGATGAGAGAAAAGGAGGATTGACGATGGCTAACAGTAATAACATTCGTTGGTTACAGAATAAGTGTAATGAAATCGAATTTTTCGGGGAAACAAATATTTCCCCACTTGCCTGGGCAGCCGCGCGTATCAGCCTATTATCTTCGGGAAGTAAAGTTATTTACCTATTTGGGGGCAGACCGTCATTATTTTATGAATGAATTGACCTGATTTAACAACAAACATAAAAGAGTGATTGCTTTACAAGCTGTGTGTTCGTTTGAAGTTCAGTGGAACTCACATATCGAACTTTCGTCCAGTCCAGAAGGCTGGTTCGAGGTGC